GGGGGCAGGGATCAGACAGACAAGAGGGGTTTGAGTGCGGCAGGGTGGATGGAACTGTTGAGGCGATGGATGAATAGCATGCATGCTTTGCCAATGCTGAGTGGGGCGCGCAGCCGCAAATCAGCAGTCTAGGTGTGCGCGGCATGCAGCTGCAAATGCAGTCCCTGCGGGCCAGTTTTGGAAGTGCGCATTTTGGGTCATGCAGTCAAGCGAGTATGGAAAGCTCACTGCAGCGCCCTCTTGCCCTCCCAGCAGACCCGCTCCTGTCCCACCCGCCGCTTGTTGACAGTCCGACACCACACATGGCCCCCCTGCCCCAACCACCAGATGCACGACACAGCGCGCGACCAGCAGGCGGGCGCACCGCGCGGCGGCGAGCTGGACCTGCCTGTCTTCACGGTATCGGCGTCGGACTGCCAGAAGCTGGAGAGGCGCCGCAGCCGTGACGGGCAGCCGCACACCTTCACCCACCTGCGGGACACCGGGGTGCGGGCTTGGCATGGCGTGGCCGCCCTGCTTTGATGACGGCCAGCTCTGCCGTTGCCCGTGACAGGCGGAAAGGGCCTGCTGTCCCAACACACGGCACCTCTGCTTTCTACACAAGGCCTAGGCACAGCAGACACTGGCCGACCCCTCTACCGCTGCCAATTCCAGCCATCAATTGATGCCCCCTTCCCCCCAAAGATCCCCGAGCTGCGGGACCACGCGCGGCAGATCGCCGCTCGCGGCCGCGCGGCGGCGCTCAAGGCCCTGGCCGGCAAGCTCAGCCACTTTGTGGTGTCCGCGGGGCGCGCGCTGCTCAACCAGGCGCGTGTGCCAGGCGTCGGCGGAGGGGCGGCTGGGTGCGGGCGGCCTCCCTGTGGATCCCCGCGAAGTGCTCATAGGCCAGCCCCCCCCCTGGCCAAGCTATCAGAGTGCAAAGTGGCAATTGTCGCTTTCCCCCTTTTATTAGAGCTTGAGCAGCAATGGCAGAACGTTGTCATGGGCTTTCACGTAGCCCAGCTGGACCCAAACCCCGCATGAATGTCACCGCACGTCCCGTCCGCAGGGCCAGGTGACTGAGAAGCTGGGACCCGCCATACAGGAGGCCTACGAGTCCACCCAGACCGGCCTCAAGCGCCAGGTTCGCGCCGCAGCCGCGACCCGCACAGCGCGCGGCCCCGCGCTATGCTACTCGTCAGGCGGCGGCAAGTTGCCGCACAAAACTTCTGCCGCAGCGCCGTTCAGGTTCCTTCCTCACTGCGGCTGCATTTTGGCGTGCATCCCAGCACTACGTGCGGCTGGCAGCTCGCCCAGGCTGCAAGCAGGGCACGCCATGCTGCCCCTCTTTGGCCCCACCCACAGACCTTGATTTCTGGCCCCTGCCTCCCGTTGCCCACGCCGCCGCGCCCCGCAGCTGGACGCCCACACCACCGCCTGGACCTTGCAGCTGCAGTCCAGCTGGATACACCAGGGCCTGGGGCCGCGCCTGACGACGGGCGCAGGCAAGCAGCGCACCAGGGCGAGAGCCGACATGAACGCCTTTCCATTTCTGGGGCCCGTGTTCGACCGACCTGCAGTTCTCAAAAGTATCTTGACAGAAGTATCTTGTGGCGTCTGCCTCCTCTGCAACGGAGACCCGGGCGCCCAGGGCTCCCTGTTGCTCTCAGCTTGCACTTGCGCCGCTCACCCCCCAAACACCTGCCCATGCAAATCCCCCGCAGCGCAAGCTGACCGCAGGGCGCCCACCACGGTCGCCGCCTGGCGCAGCAGCAGCGGCAGCAAGGGCTGCGGGCTCTACTACATGACGTGAGCCGCGGGGGCCACCGGGGGGTTGAGGGGGGACGCGCTGAGCTGGCTTTGGGCCGGGCCTGAGAGACATGGTCGGACTGCAAGCACGGCGAAGGCATCCGGTTGGAGGATGCTCGGGACGCCCACCTAGCTTGCTTGAGGTGCTTGCGCCAATCAGCCGCATTCTTTGCTCGGGGGCTTGCGCCTCACAAGGTCTTGTCATACGCCCGGAAAATCAACGTGGTCACCCCGCACATGCAGCTACAAGGCGGTTGTGCGGCGCAACGGGGGCCCCTATGTGTCGCCCAGCGCTGGCGAGGTGGGCAGGTCCGCTGTGCTAATGGCACGCCCCCCTCATGTGACCGCGCTGGGCTCCGTGGCTGCAGTACGGCTCCGATGCACCTGGCGGCCTGCCTCGCCCCAAGCTGTAGTGAAGGGACCTGAGGACACCCTGTGCTGGCCTTGGCACATGGGTTGACGCCCCCTGGCATCCTTGACAAAACCACACCCCTGCCTCCCTCCCCCGGTTCCGCCTCAGATCAACTTCAACGGTGATCTGGTGGGCCCCATCCTGGACGCGTGCGCCGTGATCTGGGACGCCACCTTCAACCAGGGTGGGCGCTGCATCACCTTGCGCTTCTCATTTGTACAGTTCAGGGTTTAAACCCTCAACCCTCAACCCTGTCTATTGGTAGTAGCCTGCCCTGCCCCTACTTAGGCCTCTGCCTTGTAACCGGTATCTACACAGTGCCCCTTTGTCACTTACGTGTGCACCCCCAACGCACCCGCAGGCACCGAGCTGCTGCTGGCCAACTTCTCAAAAGGCGTGATCAGCTCCCTCAGGCTGTCGCTGGCGGCCTTCCAGTGAGCTCCTACCTCACACGCATGGCCTCTCGCACGAGGCCCGCATACGGCGCGCGCCGTGAGAGCTGCTTGCTGCCCTGAAAGGCCCGGCGCGCCCGATGCACATGCAGGACGGCTTCTTTTCCGCAGAACGACATGCAACCAACTGTGGATGCCCCCTCGCCCATGTGCTCAGGCAGTCGCTGGTTGCCCTGGGCCTGGAGGGAGGGCCCCTTGCTGCAATGCTGGTGCAGGTGGCGCGCAACGAGCAGCGGCGGCTAGACGGCGCAATAGGACAGGTGGGCTGCGGGAACCGTGGGCGTTGGGAGATGTGATCTTAGACCTGGGTGGGGCGTCACAGGGCCTGTTGCCAGGGGCTAGGATTGTTGTTCAGCCGCGGACAGGGCAGGGCACCGGACCCAATGGACACAACCAGCAGTGTGCTGAGTCAGACGGGATCGCGGAGGGCTTCTGCCCCGCCGGCCATTTTCGCTTTCCGGCGAGTCCCTGAGAAGCCAGCTGCCGCACTTGCGCTCGATGCGTGCCGAGGCGCCACCCGTCCCTGTCGCGCCCTCCTGCCCACACCCAAAACCGCCAGGTGGTGGCCCTGGTGGAGGACCGCCAGAAGAGCCTCTCACGCTGCGTCCTGGAGGGAGAGGTGAGAGGGTTCAGGGCAAAGGGCGCTGGATCCGCTTGGTGCATGGACGCTCAAACGGGCAGTGTCTGTGCACGGCCATGTTGCACATCGCCAGCGGTGGGGTTTCGGGCGTTCAGCGGAGAGGTCTTGCCTGGGTCGGCAGACAGGGCGCCGGGATGCAGCAATAACACCCCCACAAGCTGCCCTGCATGCCTTTTCCAGTGTGATTTATCAAATCGAAACGTGGCCCAAGCCAGGCCGCTGGCACAGGCCGCCATGCGCTCGACTCACCGCTGCCCCTCATGGGCGCCGCCTGCCCTCGATCCCCATGCGCCGCCCAGGTCCGGCGCACCATGCAGGGCGCCTACGACGCCTGCGCCGCCGAAAGGTGCGGTTGACGGGGTGACGCTGATGCGGGTGTCAGCATTTTGGGGGTCGGGCCACCCCCCAACCTGGGCGCACCGCACACTGCGGGCCCTTGCGCCCGGGCACGAACTCTGCCGGCAGCGGCACAGTGCTTGGAGCGTCGCAAGCACGCGGCACTGAGGCCGCTCTGCTCGCTGCGCCGCCGTCAACGCGCACTGCACCGTCCAGGGGCGGCGGCAGCTACAACCGGATGCACACCCTCATGGTGGAGAGGCTGAGCGCGGCGCAGCGCGCCGGCATGTTCACGCGCGCGTGCAACACCATGCAGGCGGGTGGCAACAGCTGGCTGGGACCCTGGCTTTGAGGGGGCGCTGTGCAGCTCCAGGGAGCGCATCCTTGCGTCTTTCATTTCAAATTGCCATATTACACAGCAGCTGGAGTGCAGGGCTCTGCTCTGCATGTGGCACCTCAACAACTTGCACTCAAGGCAGGTGCGTGCCTGACCTCAACACATCCAACCACCCACCCGACCACAAAAAACGTCCACAGGAGGAGGTCCGCAAGCTGGCGACCGAGTGTGTGGCGCAGCTGCGCGGCGGCGTGGCGGCGGTGCTGCAGGGGGCGTCCACGCACCTGTCTACCCTATGGTGGGTGAAAAATATATCGCATGACTGATGTGTGGCCTTCCTGCCGCTTGTGGCTGCCTGGCCTTCCCTTGGTGGTACTTGTTTCCACCCAGCTGTCTGCTGGACTCCAGCTGCAGGACATCACCACAAAAGCACAGGCGCGCGCAAGCGCATCTGCTAGTCAACATCTCAGAGATTATGCAAACGACAACCGTGACAGCTGGGAGACTGTGTGTTGGTGCGCACCGATAGATTCATAAAAAGCATGCATGAATGTCCTCCTGCATTTGATATCTTTACAAATCCCAGGGAGGTGCCACCCTGCAATGACTACGAGCGCTACGAAGCCGCCAAGAAGCTGCTCGCCCTGGCGCACCGCGCGCGCGCTACCTGCGAGGCCGTCGGTGCGGCGCCTGAGCCCCTCTTCAGCCTGCCGTCGATTGCGCCTGAACCGCCATCTACGGCAAGAGCTCTGGCCACCGCTGGGGCTGGCGTCGCTGACACGGGGGCGAAACGACAGGCAGGCGGCGAGGGTACGGAAGGTGAAGAGGTAGCGAAGGAGGAGGCGGAAGAGGACGAGGGGATCAGAGACCGCCGACACGAGTCGTCCGTGCTGCAGCGGCAACAGCAGCAGGCGGAGCAGCAGGAAGCGGCGCGCCGTCATGAGCAGTGGTGGCAACATCAGCAGCAGCAAGCGCACCAGCAGCGGGCGCAGGTGCGGGCGTTGCAGCTGCAGCACCAGCAGGAAATGCTGCGGCCGCAGCACTTGCCGAATGCGCAGCAGCAGCAGCTTTTGCAACAGCAACAGCCGCGGCAGCAGCTGCTGCAGCAACAGCAGCGGCACCAGCAGCAGTTGCGGCAGCAGCAGCACCAGCAACTGCAGCGGCAGCGGCAGCAGCGGCAGCAGCAGCCACAGCAGCCACAGCACCCGCAGCAGCAGCAGCAGCAGCAGGTGCAGGTGCAGGTGCAGCAGCCGCAGGTGCAGCCACAGCAACAGCAGCAGCTGCAGGAGCAGCAGCGGCAGCAGCTGCAGGAGCAGCAGCGGCAGCAGCCGCAGGAGCAGCAGCGGCAGCAGCCGCAGGTGCAGCAGCGGCAGCAGCCGCAGGTGCAGGTGCAGCAGCAGCAGCAGCAGCAGCAGCCGCAGATGAAGCAGCAGCAGCAGGTGCATGTGCAGGTGCAGGTGCAGCCACAGCAACAGCAGCAGCTGCAGGCACAGCAGCGGCAGCAGCCACAGGTTCAGCAGCAGCAGCAGCAGCAGCAGCAGCTGGTCGGGGCACAGCAGCAGCTGCAGCAGCTCCAGCAGCAGCAGCAGCAGCAGGTGCAGCCGCAGATGCACCTGCCATGTTCCCAGCAATTACAGCTGCCGCAGCGGCAGCAGCAGCAGCAGCAGCAGCAGCAGCAGCAGGGATGCCAGCAAATGCACCTCCTGCACCAGCGAATGCAGCAGTATGAGCAGCAAGCGCAAGCTCGCATGCCGCTTTATCAGGATATGCAACAGTGCGCGGGACTGCAGCTGAACACTCAGCTGCCAGTGCTGGTGCCCCTCAACCCGGCACTGCCCGTGCTGGTGCCTCTCAACCCAGCCCACAACCTCGTCCCGCTACAGCAGCCGCAGCTACCGGCACCAGCGCTGCCGCCAGCTCGTGCAGCGGCGTGGGCACGCGCCCCAGAGGATGTCATTCCAGACAGCGAGGAGGACGAGGAGGTGGGGGGTGCCGCCAGCGGCGGCTGCGAGGTGGGGTGGCAGCAGGAGCGCGTGTTTGCGAGGAATGTGGCGGCGGACGTGAGCATGCGGCCACTGTCGAGACCGTGGCACGGGTGGGCGGACGAGAACGACCCCGGCGCAGCGGCGGCCGGCAGGGCCAACGGCGGGGCTGGAGTCAAGGCTAAGAAGCGCCAGGTACACCGGGCGATGAGGAATCGGGGAGGTCCCTGTGACATCATCGTGACTTTATGGGAGAGGGGTTCCATCTGCTCTCTGACGTCCTGCCCGGGCTTGCCCCATCCCTTGAGAACCCCACGACGGCTGGCGCCCCTGCAGTCGTTCAGCAGCCCAGCTTCCGGCTGCCAACGCGCGCGCGCTCTGCCCTTCCCCTTGAAGGCCAAGGGGGCCAAGAAGCCCCCTAAGCGCCCCATGGGCTCCTACATGCTCTTCAGCCAGGACAAGCGCGGCCAGGTGCGGAGCCACTCGCGGGCAGGACAGAGGCCAAATCGCATTCGGCGCTGGCTTGCTCCATGCCGCAGCTCAATCCGCAAACTAGACCGCGGCAGGCGCTTTGCCTTGTGCGCTGCCTTGCATCTGAACAGCGCCACCCCTCGCCGCCGCGGCACCAAGGCCCGTGCGCTGGTCGTTCGCCAGTGGCCAGTGCCCTCAAGCCACCCCTACCATCTGCGTGACGTGGTTGCAGGTGAAGGCTGCGAACCCCGCCTTTGGCGTCGCAGACATTGCAAAGGAGCTGGGCGCCATGTGGAGGGTCGTGGGCCCCAAAGAGAAGAAAAAGTACGAGGATCTGGCCAGGGAGGCGCGCACACGCTATGAGGTGGAGAAGGCGCAGTTCGAGGCCGGCCAGGGGTGAAGGCGGCACAGGCGCGGGGGCGAGCTTGGCGTGCTGTCATGGCAGTGGCCCCGACGCTTGTCATGTGTGGTGTGGCTTTGCTTGCAAGCGCAAGGCGACGGCGTGTGGGGTTCAGTTTGCTCCCAAACCTTGAGGAGCGGGTGAGTTTCAGGGCAGGGGGCACTCCGGAGCTCTGCATTCTAACTGAGAAAACAGATCAACTCGGCGGCGGTGGCGCTCGCACACTTGAAGCCTTCGAGCGACTCATTCAAACGGGTGATGTCACTGCTGCATGCCATTTCCTCGTGTAGATAGGGTCGACGACATGTATTGTAACGCGCCTGCATGCAGGTTCAAACCCCATCAGGCCCGTGCTATTTGTGGCTGCACAAGCAAGCTGCCCAGCGTCGGCACATGCTTGTCCTGTCAAGCTGCAGTGCAGAATCTTGCTTGATCCGCTTCTTGGTGATCCTGCCATGAAGGCAATGCAGCCTGTTGTTTTGCTGCTGTGCTGTCCCAAGCTGTTGCAGAGATCAGCCGTTTTTCACAACAGCATATGTATATGGACTGTTTACATACACATTTACAAGCAAGGACAGCTGACCATGCTCGATTGGTTGAAATGCAAACATCTCAGCACGCCGTCATCATGTCTGCGTCAGGCCTGCGAACATCTATGGAGTGAGTGGTTTGTTGGCCCCGTACAACGCATTGAATTTTACCAGCAATACAAACCCAGCTTCCATCCTCCACAATCAGCAAACTGTTGTGGTTGGCTGGATGACGAGTGGCCGCTGGGCACCCTGGAGCAGTTGCGCCGGCTCAACCTCGTGGTCGCGGCAGTCGAGCATGCGCGCTGATGTGCCCCTATAACCTTTAGAAGTCTGACAAGACGTCTACTTACTCGTTTGGCAGGCACCGCGCCCCGCGAGGTGGCCGCTCAAGTGCTCAGTGTCTTTCACGCGATCTGACCGTTTTCAACAACCTTGGTTTGATTCGCGTCTTCATGAATATGTAAGCATTGCGTCGCGGTGCGCTATGATGCCACATCAAGCCATCAGGCGTGATCACGCCGTCACGCTGCCATCCAGCGCCGTAGCGTGCCTCGCCTGACAAGGCCCTAGCAGAACCTCCACTGCTTTCCTTGGAGCAAGCCAGCGTGCCAGCAGAGAAACCTCCCAGTGTTCAGCGGCCCCCAGGGGCTGTGCGCCAAGCGCGCGTCGCAACCTCGTTGCAGCGATGGTGAGGTGGCGCGCAGGGGTGAGGGGCGGCCGTCGCGCGTCAACGCACTCGGCGCGTTCGCTCAGCCTCGCCCATGCATCGCGTGTACCCCTATTCTGTTGAGGACCTTCTGAGGCCTTGCATCTGTAAGCAAGGGTGCGCAGAAACCCCTCCTGAAGGGCGGTATTCGCCTCACCGCAACCTCCGCCTCGTCAGCGCAATCAACACCGGCATCTTCCGCCCCGCAGGCGCCAAGCAACAGCCCGGCGCACCCAATGGCCACCGACGCCGCACCAGGACCCCCGCCAGACCCCGCGCCGCCCGACCCGGGCCCGCCGCCGCCGTCGTGCGCGGCAGTCCCGCCGCTGCATCCGTCGGCCGCGAGCGCTGCGCCGGCTGCTGCAGTTGGCGGCGGCCGCCCAGATGAGAAGCCAGCCGCCGCCCTGGCCCCTGGGCCTGGCCCTCTCCTCCTGACCCCCCGGCCCTACCAAGAGGACCTCATCCAGACGGCCCTGAGCCGCAACACGCTGATCGTGCTCGAGACAGGTGGGGCCTCAGGGTGTGCGAGCATCCGCAGGGGTCCCACGTCCGTTGGCTGCTGCCAAAGGGCTTGTCATGATTGAAGTTGAGACATCGAACGCGTGCCCAAACCTAATGCCCTGGCCCGCATCAACGCATTTGCCAGGTTGATGTGTCAAAGTCCCTAACCTGGGCAATGGTATTTTGCTTACCTTCCACCTTACCTACCCACCCAACTGATGCCACATACACACACACCCCACCCTACCC